ATACAGAACTCGAACCTGTCGACAAGCTCCTGCAGAGCCTGAATCAGAACGAACATTGCCAATCGTACTGACCAAGATGAAGCCTACAGTGCGGATATTCGTAGGCTTGCCACTCATAACCATGATTCGATCAGTGGTTCCCGGGAAGAAGTTCGTCGCAGGAGACACCTTAGCAGTGATCTGGGCGGACTGAGATGTCGAAAAATGAGTAGAATAAGAGTCGAGATATTTTTCTTACCTTTTCCAAAGCAGCGATCTCCGCGCCGTTCTTTCCAATAATGGCTCCAGCCTGCTTGTGAGTAATGAGAATCTTGCAGTAGCTTTGCTCCACGTTCAACAGAGGGGTCCCTAAAACGCCATCATATCGATAGCACTCATAGAAGCAGTCAGAAAGACCTACATGCACTGGCAGCCATTTGGGAGCCTTCAGTTCTTCCCAATGAACCGGCCATGGTATCCGAGCTTTGCACCATGTCTTCGACCGTGCCTGACCAACGTCATTAACAACAGCCACCCTCCCATCCCGCTGGACTCACCAGTCGACTCCCCTCCACTAGCCAGAACCTCCTCGATCATCGCAGTGGCTTGAGAGGCCGTCATGTCATCCTCTGCAGTGGGCGGCTCCCCCTCATCAATTGCAGTGTCGTTGATGATACTGATGAAATCTTGAGCAACTTGACTGGAATTAGCGGACCTACGGATCATAGCTAAAACAACTACTACTTCCCGACCTCTTACGCCATAGTCCGGCTCTGCATGTTAACTCCAAGGAGACTATCCTCCTGCGAGTCATGCATCCCATAGTAGTGATTATTCAGCTGAGGCTCCACTCCGCTGGTACTACTCGGAGCCTCGAAGTTACTACTGTGACCATATGCCTGTAGCCACACAGGGGCCCTAAGAGTTTCCTCGTTGTCTCTATGGTTGCTGGGACGAGTGAATGTCGGGTTTTGGATCGCGACAGCCATTAATGTGCTTGACAATGGTGTTGGATCGCTATTAGCTGAGAGTAATCATGGTCAAACAGCAACTCCCACAACCGTCCAAACGGAACACTACGCGTAAAGAAACCAGTCAACGACCAACAATAGCATGCTCATTTTAATTCAACAATGTTCTCGTTCTCCCATCAGCAACTGTCCATGACCGCAGCCTCATCCTAACCTCGTTTGTGTAGTTCTGAGATTATGGTGTCAAGAATGATGCCACTAGTAATAGCAAGAGGAGAGTCCGGATACAAATCTCTGAAGAAGTTTTTCCGCTGCGAGACAATAGGGTTTGTCGAAGCCGTCCTGTTCGTGACGGCAAACCCTCCAGGGACGGGTTGCCAATTACCAGCAGCGTAGTCCTGACAGGACCGAGAGCTGCAGGGCTCAAAGGGATCCCGGCGACACGCGAAGAATGACTTAGACCAGTGTATTCCATCTCGTGAAAGCTCTTGTCGCGCCAGTGTCATCTCGTATGCATCCTCTACAGAGATTATATCAAATTCACGACCAACTTCACCGGCGATTGCATTAGCGTTTCGGAGCCTCTTTCGACCATAAAAGATATCGAACGCGCACCAAGAGACGCGGATATCTTTCGGGCAGGCACAACGCCGACCAACAGGCTGCGACGTGGGCTTAAACAAAATGACGCACTGAGCGCAGGCTCCTCGAACCGCAGCGAAGAGTTTCTTCAACAGCTTGCCATAGTATGCAAGGCTGACCTTCTTTAAAGTGTGAAGGTTCTCCCCTATAACGACTACAGTAGGCTTGACCTTCGCAACCCGCTTAGCAACAGCATCAACACTGCGCCAGCCGCCAGCGCCCATGGTACGGACATCGCACATGAACGGATTCTCCTCCGAAGAGTACATGAACTCGTATGTACCCCAAACGCTTTCGTATTCCACCCGAACCTTAGCAGATTTCAACAGTTCATCCCAAGGACCTGCCTGCGTCCAGAAGCGCCAGATGTCCTCCACTGTAGAGTCCCCAACAAAGAGAATCTTCTTTTTTCGCATGACCTGCTTCAACCACTTGTGTACCGGTTTACCATCGAGGAACGGCTTCGCCCTAGGATTGAACCAAATGTAGTTGTCAGAGTAGTCATAGTCTCCAATCGCCAATTTGCATTCCCTGACCGCCCTCTCCATCACAGAGTAGTGTACCCACTGTGACTGAGCTCCGACAAGTCTACCGCAGTCGATGGAGTTAGGCAACTCCACAACATCCAAACGACTAAGCCGTGGGAGTACCTCAGCACCCAAATACACAGCAGTTGCGTTCAACGGCCAGAACATATCCAGCGAGGCCACCCTCGTAGGATTCCTCGCCACCTTCCAACACACCCGAGACCGGTTCGGTAGGGAAACGTCCGGCTCTAGAGAAGCAGAGTCAGCTAAACGCTCAACCGACACCGAGAGAAAGTACTTCCCACCGACCAATAGCTGCGCGGCTGCTGTATAGTGACACTCTGTACCAGCAACAACGGAACTCGATATGGTGAAGTCAAGGGGCAGAATGGCAGGACCCCTCAGGACGCCGAAAAGTTCATCACTACAGCTGAGCTTACCCGTAACCAAGCTTAGTCGTAAGGGACCAGCGACTCGAACATGAACCAAACCAGCAGAAGTCGAGGTAGCATCGAGAAGGCGATAGCGCGACCGCTCCGCCCGACAGAAAGGATCTACCTTACAGTCAGCCTCACAGTTGTTGATAGGACAGAGAGTACCCGAGACACCCCTACGGGGGTCGTTACAGTAGTGCATCCCTTGCCGAGATGGGAGCTCGGGGTGACTACAGGTGTGACCAGAGGGAAGGGGGACCAGCTTCAGAGGAGACTTCGGTACCAAGTCGACCGAGGAAAGCTGCCCTTTGTAGATCAGAACCAAGGCAAAGGACACCGCAGACACAGTCAGGAAGGCTCGAAGCATCGTGGACCGACTGGGCATGTCATCGAGAATAGAGACTTGCTGAGATTTCTGCTGCGACCAACGAGCAGCCGACTATCGTCTCTCAGTTACCCTCGAGCAGAAGGGAACACTACTCACACACAACCCCAACATGAACGTCAGAAGGGTGGGATTGAGCTCGGTAGTGCAGTAGAAACCTCTCGGGAGAATGAGAGGAGTACCAGGTCGCACGGTCGCCGTCTCGACAGCAACGGTCGCCAAACGAACAGACCAGTGCCGGGATGGCCAATCAACCTGAGAAGGGAAGGAAGAGCTTCCCAGGGGTCTTACATGAGCGATGCCGTCGCCGCAAAGCCAGCAGATTGACCAGAGGGGACCAACAGAGCCTACGCAAGGGTATGCAGCGACCAAAGAAGATCGCAGAAGCCATCTTGCGTTGATGTGATATCTCGCTCGCCAAGATATTCGGGCGAGCGAGATCAACCAAATCTGTCGCAGGTTCGATCCCCGCACATGACACTTCTCCAATCCATACATACCTTGTCACTAAAACTCTCATGGAGTCTTTGGGATAGTAAACCATCGTACCAAGTGAAATCAGAGTTATTTTACCAAAGACCAAAAAGCTTTAGTAGTACTAGTAACGCAGTAATAAGATTGCCTTGGTCCTATAATCCCCTCACCTGTCGATCTAAGGCGACCTCGCTGGCTTCTGCTCATCACTGTAGACGTTGGTTGTTTCCCATCACACTTACAATGTCCTCCGCCAGTGAGAGGATCAATAAGCTCGTACGGAGAAGGAAGGTAAGAGCTCCTCATCTACCACGGTCCATAAACGATGTCGGACCTCAGGCCCAGATCATCGAGGCGATCATGCATGAGCACTCCCAATGTCATTGTGGAGATGCTCATTGCCAGGCAGAGGAAGGATGTGGAGTGGTTGATGAAGAAGGGACAAGGTAACGGTAGTTCCTCGTGGTGATATTGCTCCTTTGACTCGTTCATTGAAACACTAGTAGTGGTGTACTCATCACTATGGCAGTACTCTGCGGAGGAAAAATATTCGTGCCGCGGAGCCACAGTGGAATGTATATATAAATGCCTTTCTATTCTACCGTGTGGCCGACTAACCCTCACTGTCGTTCAGGACTCGGTCACCTGTCAAAGCAAGTGGGCAGTACCAACTTCAACAGCAGCAGGAGGAGGATAAGAAGCCTATGGTCTCCCCGAGGAAGCGCTCCCAGCTTTCCATGGAAGCGCCTGCTACTAGGTAGTTGCTCTCTAATCGATCCACGTATACAGTTCTACTCCAGTGAGTCGGTAAAGCGAGCCAAGACCTCACCGGTCCGTCCGCCTAAGGAAAAGCTGGATCTCCAACAGCCACTAGACTTCGGAAAGAAGCTCTCTCATACGGACGCTACTGTCAGAGTGAAAGGTTTCAAGATGCTCGCTAAGTGGCTCGGTAAGGGTGTGGTCCAGTGAGCTCTCGATCTAGTAAAGCTCTCACAGGTTCGCATTGGAAGGTCCTGGATGAGAACGATGCTCGGAAGCTCTGGCGTGGCCTTTGGTTCGTCCTATGGATGGCTGATGGTCGGGGGGTACAGCAGAACGTAATGTGGTCGAGGAGTGGTACGGAAGGCTCACTGTTTTGTCCAGACTGCTGCTCAAATGGTGCAGCTATCTAGAGTCTTCACAGACGAGGCCGCCTACGTGCTGTGGTGGAAGGCTTTCTGGTTTACAGTCAACGAGCAGTGGGAGAAGGTAATAATAGGTAATTTTGTGGCGCGTGACGATCCTCTCAGTTGGACAAACATCGTATCAACAAGTACCAACTCCTCTTACGTATTGCATTGGCTGAGCTCATGAACCACTCCATCAAGGTGCAGAGCATCGAATCTTTTCGAAGACTGCTGGATGAGGATCTTCTCGATAAGAAGAAATGTAGTAAATGGTATTCTCAAGGCATTGGGACTGGCGAACTCCTCAGCGTTATTGTATATCATGTGAAAATTCGGGGAAAACTGATCTGCAAATTTCGCCACAGGATTAGACTAGTTGTCATCATTTGAGAGCGAATACCCTTATTAGCAGCTTAACTCGGGTCATCTGTTTCAACGGCTTTGAGCCTCCGAACATGTTCAGGTACTCCTTCTGTGGTGATGCACTGCGCCCGAGTGTTCTGGGAGGAGTGGGCGGCCGAAACCAAGGCGGCCAACGATAAGTCCAAAACCGCTGTTCTCAACACGGACTTCACGTTGTTACGACCCTGGTTGAAATGCGTCAGAGTTTGCAGTGTGAAGGCAGTCGTTGACGAGGTCTATCTCTCTCTCCTCCTCAAGACTCCAGTGAAGGAATGGCTTCCTGAGGTTCGTGTGTGGATGTATAAGATAGGCGAGAATAGCCGCACTGAGGATATGCAGCGCGAGGCGGCGTATGCTGCTGTGGACAAGCTGGAGAAGCGGATGAAGAAGGAAGGTAGTCACGCGCCACGAAATTATAACGGAAAATATCTGCATCTCGTAGGCGTCCCGATCGTCGATTAGGCCGAGCCTCCACAACTAACGTCAAACGTCCTATACCAGTATCACTGCTGTTCGCTTTCCTCGTCCACGAGTTTCCGCGTTCTAGTATAAAATAGGGCCTACAGGAAAGCCTAGTTTATCTCGCCAACTGCAAGATGCAACTCCGCAACGCTGTTCTGTATACCACACCATAGTACTACTCTGTGTGTGGCTTAATAGTACATTCAAGAGAGCTCCCGCTTCTCCCGCTCTGCGTAACTAACACAATGTGTCCGTTAGACTTCCTTGTAAGTCGATGATGGAGGCCTGGATATTGGTGAGGTCCGGATAACCCAGATGGACTTCGTCATTGTCGCCTCTCACAAAACTGTACATGGTAGGAGTGCTTTTCATGCCAGCGAGTGGGAAATTACGACCAAACTGGGATCGCTAATACAGCTGCTAGAACAAAACTTCAGAGCTGCGTTTGAGACTCGAACCTTTTTGCGTTGCAGATCCTCGTCGAGGTGTGCTAGCTTGTTTTGATCAAGTGTGGGAGTGAACGGCTCGAGGCAGGAGAGAAGGGGAGAGGAGGAAGGCCTCTATCTACCCTAATTACATCGTATACACCGATGCGTTTTTTGCAGTCTACAGGGGAGGAGAGTAAATAGTACGAAAATACTACTGACGAGTCGTTAGCAGCAGCAGCAATGGTTGATGAAAATGAGCACAACAGAGATTCCAAGGGTATGATCAGTAATATCCACCTCATTTATCGTCTTGTCAGTGAGGAGATGTAGCTGTACGTAATTCATCCTTCGCCAGAAATGCATTAATGACACCTTGAAGAGCAATGCCATGAGTGTGGGTATGCTGCACTTAGTCCTCTGTACAGTTGGACTGCTCACTATCAAAGGCCAGGGTAGTTAACAACGCAACAAAGGGAGAGGGCAAAGGAAACACATATGAACGTTCGAAAATTACTCTCCAGAATAATGATAATCCCAGCGACGCCAACTGCTGCTACCCTGACCATCCACTTGATAATAACCGTTCCCTCGATAAACGTATTGAGATCTCCTCCCAGCAGCCCGGACCGGCTCGAGTGGCTTGGTAGGCTTCGTATCAGGCGCGCTTCGCCAATCCAACACCTCCTTCACCTCCACAACGTCCTCGAGGCTCCTAAATCGCAGCAGCAGCAGCATCGAACCTCAGTTACAACCCGAACGGCATCTCACTCATTGAGAATAGGGCTCGCCGTTGAAGAAGTCGACGATGACGCTACAGGCCTTGCCGTAGGCTCCTACCGAGAAATGCTTAGCTGATCGGAAAGGAATCCGTCTCACCCGATCCGGAGCCTTGGAGTTGGTGGATTCCTCCACCTTATCCACAACGACAGCTGCGTGATCCTCGGATGATAGAACGCTCATCATTTCCTTCCTCTTAAGCATGAGGTATCGCTCTACGTTAGTATTCTGCAAAGAGAAATCGAGGTAGAGCCCAACCGCTCAGGCAAGTCTCACCCGGCCGACTTCAATGTCGTTCAACACATGCCACTTGGCGCACCGGTCGAGCCTCTCGATATGCGTCCAGAGCGGGTACGTGTTTGATCGTGGATTCACCGGCGTCCAACGAACAGTGAGATCATCAGAGAAGTCCGGATCGAGCTGGAACTTATTGTCCAGGTGGATCGTATAAGTGTCCACGTCGAAGTATATCATTCCACTATCGATCACCTTCTTCTTCGCGATACTCACCACGCGGTAGTACAGGTGTCTGCACTTCGCTACGTTACCCTATACCATCATTGAGACGGATCCTAGCGTTGACATTAGCTCACTTCAACGTGTATGTGATTGCCGTGGTTATCAGCCCAAGTCCCAAGAAACCACGACAGCCATATGGCTATACGCCGCTCCTCTAGCGCCTACACGAGGTGGTGACAGGATGGCGACAGATAGTAGTGATTACATTAACGGTGATAGGAAGTGCCATGCACTGAACGGGGTCGAAGTAGGTGATGATTCTGTCACCTTCGGGAGGCGATTCGGGATAGTAACAGCCATGTAGCGGATACATGTTTATAAAAAGCTAGAAGCAACGTGAACTGACAGAATGGTGACACGGAAGCATACGAGATAAGGAGAAACGTTATCAATCAGTATTAGCATTATCGTTGTGGTTCTCTGTCGGTTTCGGAGCACCGTTGGCGAGTTTGGAAATGTCACCCGTGGGCTTAACATGAGGCCGACCCTCTTCATCGTAGTCAACTTTCTGAGCCGTCTCCCAGAAGGGCATCGTCACGGTGCGCCCATTGACGACCACTCCTCGGTGATGCTCGGCTAGGTCCTTCTCAACGAGCGAAGATACTCGTTGAACGTCCGCAAGGAGGGATCGTAGATCTGAGAACAGCAAAATGCCCATGCTGGGATTCGAACCCGCGCCTTGAACAACAAAGATCCGCTGCAGTCACCTTTGTCGTCCCCTTCCGGCGCCTGGTCCAAGTTTTCCTGTATAGTATCTTTGCACTTGTCGAGTTCACCGTAGTTGAAAAGAGCTCTCGCGTATGTCAAGGCGAATGCATGGTCCCGACTGTAGGCCATCTCAGCATGGTGAACAGCGCGCCAATCCTCATCAAGTTCCATATACGCCTGACCCGACAAAAGTAACCATGCAAAGGGAGCGCTTTCAATTCAAAGAAATCACCTGTGCTATCCAGTTGTGGACCTCAGGTCCTGCTTGGCCAGCTCGTACCACCCTACTCCACGATGATATAGCAGCTCTGAAGTCGCCAGCATCAGCACTCGTACAACCACCATCACAAAGCTCATTCAACGTAGCCGTATCTATACCGGTGCAGTCCGACTATGGGCAGCAGAAATCTGAGAGGATGAGGAGGAGCCTACCTAGCTCAGGGGCTGCCTCCTGTTGGACATCAGAAAGCTCAGAGGAATCCTCTTGAGCCGCGAAGGCAGCCTCGGCCGGCCTCGGAGCCTCCGCTATGACTCGTGCCCGCTTTGCCATGCTAGACTCCTTCAGCGAAAGGTTAAACGACATCAGATAAACTGATAACGCTGATGTGACAAAATGAACAATCAACACAACTTCGAAATTTTTCCGAGAACATGACTCATGTTACATGAGCTCTTGATTTTTCGCCATGTCGGACTGGTGACTATGTCACGACACTGCCATGCATAGAGAGGTTACAAATGAATGGTATCACCATCTGAACGAATCTCTAACGCTACTCTCATGCTAGAAGAGGGGAAAAAATTCCCTCTTCTTAAAAATTTTCCCGAAAATTTACGGGGTCCAGGGCTCGAACATGCATATACTACGAAACCACAAGTTTCAGACTACTATGGTGTCTGATACTCGAAAATGTTTGAAGTACCCCAAGTTGAATTATGCGACTAGAACTCGACATACTAGGTTGATGGCCAGAAGGCTCATACAGGAAGAGCATGAACATCACCACCAAAGCGACTCGATTCAAAAGGACGGCTCAAGCCTATTAAGACCAACATCAGCTCAGCCCTGGTCTTTCCCTGTAGCAGGTAACCGACTTGAGTGCACAGTGTAAAGTGGGGTACGACCAAATACAGGGTGGGAAAGCAGCTCAAGTCGGCTCTGGAGGGAAGGCAATGGACAACGCTGTACCCGGGGAGAAGGGGACCTAAAAGTGGCTCGGCACGGCGCCGACTGTCTGAAAATAACAAGTCCAGGAGCATTCGAGAGGCGCCCTACCCGAGTGAGGTCTTCGGCCTTCCTGTAGGAGCTTCTCCGTGATGGTCAAAACTCGGTACATTCTGAAGTATGTGGCGCGTGACAGAATCTCCTACTGCAATCTGCTTGCCTGTAGCCCAACAACCTCCACTACACCCTCCTCAGACAGATCCTCCAGCGAGCCGCTACTATCGCTCACAGGCTCCAGCGCCTCCACGGGCACTATCTCGTTGCCGCCCCTGAAGCACAGCGCCCACCCCTATACAGGTCTCTCTACACTCCTACCCACATCCCTCCTGACAGGTGCTTGACGAGTCCTCCGGAATCATACCCTGGGCAACCTCCGTTGAGTTTCCATCTTCGCCTGAGATAGTGAGAAACGCATGAGTTTTGACTTCCCGATTTGAATGATAATCCAACATGCAGGTACTGCCATTGTCTCTACCAAGCGCGAATCCAACAGGACCGCTCTCTAGATTTTTGTTCACGAAGTTGATCACAGTACATACTCCAAACTGATTCGAAATATACTTTGAAAAATGCGATTCCCCGAAAGGTACCATGAGTAACGACCTCAGTTTCCGGGCAATGTACGTGCTACGGGCAGAGAGCATAAGAGAACACACGTTGCCCCAAGTAATTGACCAGCCATACCCACCAGAGAAACAGTCACCATCCGGGCACACTCCCAAGCACATCTCGCGAGCAGAGCTCTCGTCCAAGTCTATGGTGATACCTCGAAGCTCCTGAACCTGTTGAGCGCCACCACATCTCCACCTGCCCCTACGACCCCGACGTACACCCATTTCGGATCCAAACGCGATCGCTACGTCCAATGGTCCTGAGGAGGGCCGATGAATATCATATGGTCACGCACAGTAGTCTTACTTATTCCCTCTGTCCTTCGTTCGCCATCTACCACCTGAGTCGGGGACACAACGCTAAAGTCAGGCGGCACGAGCTGAGGTACTCACTTCAGTCCGGAGCAATTGACTATCAGTCATTGCGCGTTTGAGACCACCCGAGCCCGGCGGATTCTCTCCGGCGACCCTGAGGCGAAACCGGATGACCCACGATATTTCGACAGTACTCTACTCACCACAGAGAAATGCCAGTCATAGCCCCGAGAAAGTGCACGCATATTCCCCCATACCCGCCTCCTTACCTCGCCATAGCAGACTCATCGTGGTTAACTGGTGGATCCACAGGCTGACTTGAGTGAACTCCCCGTCGGCTAGCTTGAGCATCCAGGGCGACCTCCCCTCCAAGATCCGTTGTGGCATTTTCAGGGAGAGCTCCGGTGTGATTCTTGGACTGATAAAAATTACAAAATGAGCTCCGCTCCGCTGTTTTCATACAGTACACTTTGAAATTGTTTCCTTCTGAAACGCCTATACCATCGTTGGAGCTTAACGCAAGATGAAACTCTGACAAGAGCCCAAGTACAGTAGCAGAGGACAAAGGGCAGCTTACAGGGACTCCCACTGTTGCTCAAAATTCGCTGGCTTCTTCGGGTGCTCATACTCCATAAGCCTACCGAAGACCTCATAGTGCCTACCACACCAGCTCGAAATCACCCCCAATCCCACCTCCTCACCTCAGATACCTCATACGACGTTTGGTCACCAATTTAATGAGATACTGCCGGAACCTTTGGGAGTACATCGAACAAACCCATCTATAGTATGTCCGTCCTACTACCTCCTCTGTATTATCACAGTCGCATGCTGTCGTCTTGACAACGGTATGGCCTCAAGACAGTTGAGCCCGTATTGACTCCACCATGGAGGACGGACTGAAGAGCAGTACAATCCACCTACGGGTTTCCCACCCTACCAGGCCTCGAGCGCCACCGGTCCCTCATGAACCGCTGTATGACCATAGCAGCTTCCTCCTTGTATGGGAGGTATACAGATGCTACAGAGGAACAGGTAGAGGACTGCCGCTCGTTGCACACCAACATCAAAACACACACTGAAAAAGACAGCTTCGCTCCGCCAACTATCCCTTCCATTCACAACAACTCAGACACACTATGACAACCTGAGAAGCCACTATGGAGCAACATGTGCCGTGGTACATGTGATCGCTGTTGAATTCCGCTGGAGTGGTAATGAAGTATCACCCTTCTCGTCACTGCTAAGGTCTCTGGTGGCTCTACGATGACCTTCTACCCCCCCTTTACCCCCCCCCCCCCCCGGAACATTCTATTGGCTAATCGCTCTGTGCCACTGCCCTTCAAGTTCTCCGCTCGGTCGTACTTGAACATTTGGGCATTTTTCAAAGCCTCACCGCCCCAAGTAGCCCCATCCCCTCACACGATCACCATAGAAGAAATAAGCCTCGAGGGTGGACTAGCAATTTCAACTCTCACCAAGCACGGAGTTGGTATCCTGCCCTCCTCGATACGGCCTCCTTCTCTATGACCGTACCCTAGACCGCATCCTTGACCAACAAGAGATATCTTTGAAATCTTCGCTGTGCGCTATGCGCCTTGACCATATACACGATCTTCTGCATAGACCTAGCGATCGGCAGAGCACCAGGAAAATACAGAGGACAGTGCGACAGTTCACCTCCACTCACAAGTCTTCCCCCCGTAGGAGAATAATCCTCTACTACAATCCACAGCTGGTCGAAGGCCAGATCGCGGTACTTCGCTATGGCTTCTGAGGAGTTCTGCAGCAGAGGCACCTTGTCGAATGAGAAATCTTCCCGCTGCGCACAAGTATCTTACGCAAACAACTTACACAGGCGCGCAACTACTGAGAAATCAACCTCGTTGGTTGACTTTTGTCGAGCCAGCATATGTTTGACAGGTTAAGGTTGATGATCAACGTTTCACTTGGGACTCGTATAATCTATCATTTCAAACGTGTATAATTCTGTTTCCACTCAAAAAAACCTCATAGGTTGACTTATGTCGAGCTAGCATATCTAATCACAAGGGCGATGGCACTGAGAAAGCCTGCCTCTCAGTGCCAGTCCCAAACTTTCTCATCGAAGTTGATAGAGAACACAACCTACGGCTCATGCACTTCACTGTAGTGACAGCGAGCGACTTGACCCGTATGGCTGAGTAACAGTACGGAACAGAATTACATTGAGACCCCCCTGAACTCTCCCTTTTAGTTCTTAACTGGAAATAATTTCTCCTTGTAAAAGTGGGCCCCGGTCCCTTCATTGCAAGTCCTAACTTACTACTATGAGACCTCACCTGAGTGTCAGTTTCAAGCAGGTGTGTGTGTGTGGTTGGGTGCGGGGCGTACGGGGCTAGTGGGCTATCGCCCTTCCCACACATACAATCGCCGACTCCAGTGGTCGCGAGAGGCTCAACGACAGCTCCCCGAGAAAACAATGAGTAAGAAAAG